CAGCCTGGGTTGTGCTCATCTCACCCAGGCTGCATGCACCACAGAAATCTTCCAGAAATTCACTGTTGTGAGAACACATCATGCCCCCCCCCCCCCGCCCCCCCAAATGAAATACAGACCTCAGTGGACTCAAAATGTGCTGAGGAAGGGCTCCAGAGGCATTACACCAACAGCACCTTTCCTGCCCACAGCAGCCTGGTGCTCCCCAAAATGGATCCCTTCTTACCGAGAAGGGAGATGGAAGCCAGCAGGATGGTTTCAAACCCACAAGATAAACACACCCTTTTACGTTATCTTGCTCCTTAGAGACACCTTCCTATCAAGGGCTTTCCCACTTGTCTAAGCCTCAAAAAAGGTGTTTCAAAATGGAAGGAGAGTAAAATGTGCATGAGCAGAAAAACAAGTGATGCTTGGGGCTCAGAGAAGGGCTTTGCCAGGGTAAAAAGGGCAAGAAGAAAGGAAGGTCAGGAAGGCTGCATAAGGAAACCGTAGTATCAGCTCCCTTTTCGTTCAGACCTCTGCCTCAGGCAGCAAAGAAAGCAAATCAATTCCCAGCCCAGGGCTTATGGCTGATACTGACAGAGCATGCAGACTGTAGCAGAACTGAAAAATGCAGGTATAAGCTATAACCTATCAAAAACCTGAGCCACCATCAAATATATGGGAACCATACGTCCAAGCTGGCTGCCACACGTGCTCAGTTGGGTACTATTGAGCTTCAGACAGCCCTTTTCTGGAACAGAAAGCATGTCCATCAGGGCTGTGCATCAGGGCACACAAGCTCTCCTACTTCCCCAGTGATTTACTGAGCCTATGGATGCAGAGGCCGGGCACAGGAGGACTTGGGACAGCCTGGATGCCCTCCAAGCAAGAACAACCCTCTCTGCTGCAGGCTGCCAGCTATCCCTGCCATGCCTACCCTGAGCTGTTTAGAAGCAAGCTTTCCAGGGCTAAAACATCTGGATTTGGACTCTGCCTTCCCTATAGCTGCCACAGTCACTCCTGGTCCCCTTCTACTCTGTAAATCCTCCCTCTTCCATCCAGCACTCTTTCCCTGGGCCCTTGCCATCACTACTCTACCCCCAGGATGCCTTCCAGAGGTGCTGCCGTGCTCACAATGGAAAGACACTGATGTGTTTAGTCTAAAAATATCTAATTAGATGTTCCAAGCACTTCATTATGGTATCGCCATGATAGGACTACAGGGTCTGGCAGGAGCTTGGTGGCTTTGCCTTCCCAGAGACCAAAAGGCAGCATCACAGCAGCTCACTGGTAACAGGACAGTCTGTCATTAGCCCAGCCTGCTGGCATCATAAAGACAATTATCTGGCTAAACTGATCACTGTCATTAGAAAACTTGCTATTTGTTTTATAAGAGCATGGCAGGCCCTTGAAATAATTCAATTGCCCCAATTGACTTTCCAGCGTGCACTTCATTGGCCTGCAGGGCCACTCTCTGTGGCTTCTGCTCTTCAGAGGGCAAACTGCCAATACATAGGGCTTGCGGGGAGCCTGAGCAGAGTTTGGTGAGAGGACAGTGTCCATCCACCAGCCTGAGGACAGAGAGAAACTGTCCAGGCTCTGAGTTTTCTGGCAAAGTGAACACTATTGGTGATTGTCCCTTTTCTGGCTGTGCAGGAGAAAGGAGGGGATGATTTGTGGCAGCAGTCAGGGTCAGGTGTTAAATGAGAGGACTGAGATGTGAGTAGGGAGCCTGGAGGTCTCCTTGGTGCCCCAGTTCTACAAAACTCAGTGCTAGAGCCCTCCGTAGGGAAGCATGGGCACCAGGTGATATTCACAGCTGGTTTAGGAGAAGACATGTGAGGAAAGTAGCTTTTCACCTCTTGCCCTCTGCCCACTAAGCCATACAGGGCAGAGCCACAGCTCCTGGAGATGCTCACCCTCATGTGATTCCTCTTTAATTTCACGGGGACTTAACAGAGTTTGCTGGTAAACACCTTGCAACTACATATGCCTGGAGATTACTGGGTAATTACGCTTAGTGGATCATCACGTAACAGGTAACACTATTTAGGAATGGCAAAAATAACCAAGCAAACATGCTGCATTCATCAGTATCAGGGGCTGGGATGATCTGGGGAAAGTCTTCCACCTAGCATACCAAACCCCCTGCAAGGCCTCCTGACACCTTAACAGGTGTCAGCTGCTTAGAGGGAGCAGGATGGGACTTTCCTCCCCCAAAATGTTCTTGGGGAAATGCCAGAGCCCAGAACTGTGGAGGCTTCAGAGGGTGATTTTAAAGGATGTTCTCTAAGGCAAAGGCTAGTACCACCAGATCCAGCCTCAGCAGAGATGCAGCACAGTGCTGATAGACCTGTTCAGGAATGTATGAATCCATTTGCAACCAATTAGCAGTGCTAACCCAAGTGGGAGGTACAAATAGTGTAGTTACTGTAAATATCAACTCTATGTCCTCCAAGCGCTTGCTGTACACCGGGAGGCTGCATTCCCAGCCAGCACAACCCTTGCACCCTCGGGTCCCCTTGAGCTGCTCTGGAGCCTCAGGATATGAGTTCACATCCAAGATTAGGGGCCTACTTTTCCCCTTAAAGCAACATTTCCATATGGCTTTGCTACCCCCACATCACAGGAGAGGACACACATGGGGCATCCAATCCCAGGACCCACGGTAGGTGCAAAGCAAGTCCCTCAGCAAGGGCACACAAGACTCCTGCATGCTGTGTTTGGAGATGCACCTGCACAGCCCAGCCTGTGCACAGCAAATCCTGTCCTGAGCCCCCAGAGGTCCACCCAACAGTTTTGCACAACAGCAGGGCTTGAGGCCAGCACAGTGGCCAGCAGCCCCAGGCTTCCTGCCTCACATCACTTTGAACAAGACAGAAGCATTACCAAATCACACCAAGCAAAAAGGAAAGGAGAGGTGGCAACTCACAGATTAGGTGCACAGCAGAAGATAAGTGGGATAAGTGTCCTCATTGCATCAGTTTGGCAGCACCAAAACTTCAGTGCTGCAGCTGCACCTGTAGCTCATCACCCTGTCCACAGTCTGGCTTTGTCATCCATCCTCCTCCTCCAGTGTTCCCTCTCCTCACTTCCACATAGGGCTCAGCTCCCTCCCCATGCATGACACTGCAGGCAGGGTCCCCTCACCTCCGAGCCCTCCTCACAAGGGAGGCAGGCTGCAGAACCACTGCAAAGAGCAGCCAAGCTGCTTGTACCAGGTGTGGTCCCACAGGATGCCCACCGCTCTGGAAATAAACAGCAGCTGTTAGCAGCCTTTCAAACCTTCCCTAAGCCACATGGCTACCTAGGAAGGGGGAAAAGCATGTAGGCAAAGCCATCCAAAGCATTAGGCTGTGAAATCCAGATGCCAAGTCATGACCCAGTGACATGTCAGAGGTCACAGAGCAAGTCAGTGGCAAGAAAAAACAGTGTGCCTCCCAGAGGATACCCAGCTCCATGCTCACCGTCTGCCTGGCAGCCTCTGCTCGTGAGTGAGGGCAGAGCAACAGGCAGGGTGCAAGCCTGGGTTTGCCAGGACCTCTCTGCATGGGGGAGGAACGAGTAAAGGAATTTTGCAGCACAATCAGATAACCATGATATGTGGCACCATAAACAACCCTTATCACTATCAGCATCCAAGCTGGTTGTTAAGAGCTGGGAAGGAACCCCCAGTAGGAACAAACAAAATTGTCAGAATTGGCTTAGAGAAGGCATGAAGTCTCACCCAACCACTGTGGTCACTGGCCCCAGGGAGCACTGAGTGCCATCCCACATCCATCACTCAGAGAGAGGGAAGAACCTCTGCTACCAGGCATCCCACAGGGCTAGAAACAAACAGGTCCCCTTTGGTCCCTATCCAGGCACTACCAGCCACACTACCTCCCCCCTCTTCCCTCCCCCCCCCCCAAAAAAAAAAAGCTAGCTTGTGCCCCAGGTGTGGCTCATGCAGCTGGCACCTGGGAAGTTTTCTCAACTCTGACGCAGCCCAACAGATCTGGAATCACCTGTTCTGTTGCCTGCAGCCTGCCAAGGATTTTTTTCATGGTATTTTGCTTGGGAACCACCCAAGCCTTCAGATTGAGAAACCACAGCATGCCACTGGGACAAAGTCACTGCTCTGCTACTTACTGCCAGGGGGACTCCTCACAGCCCTGGGGACCCATAGGAGGGATAGCACCTTGTCCCAGGTGGGACACCCCCACTTGGGGGTCAGCACAGCTGCTGTGGGTGGGGGGTTGGCTGGGCATGCTTTTAAATGAATGGACCTGCCAGTGAGGTGGGCACAGCTGTTACACATCCTAACAACCATGAAAAAGAAGTCAGCTGTGACTTGATCAATCTTCCCAGACTTTGTAATGAGGCCACAAAACCACAGGTAAGCAGACCAGCAGCAGGTGCCAGTTCTCATCTTATGCAGCACATCTCTACGCCCTGCTTCTTTAGCGATTCATATGTAGTGCATGAGCATCTCCATCCCTCTCCCTCACCCATGCACAATAGGAACACCCAACTGCAGAGGTACATGTCTTTCTGTACCACACCTGGACTCTGCTCAGATCCCTGCTTTAGGAGTCTCCCCTTCCTCATTCCTCCTCCTTCTCATCAGCTGCTCCCCGGGTGTCTCTTCATATGTAGGCAACAGCGTCAGAAGTGAGCCTGCTACCAGTCAGAGTGCTCCTGGCTGCCTCTCCCCATGTTACATATCGACATTTTACTGCATGATCTGCCCTCCAATCCCCAGAAACATGAGCCAAGAAGTACTCATTAGAGATAAGCACCATGGCTCAGCCCACACGAAAGCAACCCTGGCCAAACCTTACCCTGTCAGAAAGCAAAATGGGGGGGGGGGGGGGGGGGGGGGCGGGGGGGGGAAGGGGGAAACGGACAACAAAAAATACCCAGCCCATTAGGAGTTGCCAGCACTGGTATCACATTTTCTTCCCGATTCCTCCCAGACAGATCCATGCGATCCCAGCCGCGTTCCCATAGCGAAGGGAATGGAGAGCCGTACTTACTGCTGGTGCTCATCCTGTCGGCCCTCCCCTGCCCTTCAACAAAGGGGGCAAAGATGCTCCGTAAATCCTTTTGCGCTCCTACAGCAGGAGGGGGCCTCCTCTCCCCTTCTTACAGGCGAGGGTCCTGCGCGCTCCGCCACATCCCAGGGCGGCCCCGAGTGCCAAATTCAAGGTCAAGGGGGATAGCGGCGGCGGGGAGAGGATAGGGATCAGGCTGAGGATGCAGACCGGCGCTGCCATGCACTGCGGAGCGCGGCCGCTGCCGCTGCTCTTATAGCGGGCGTGGGGCCTCGCAGCGCCGCTCCCCCCGGCCGCCCCGCCCCGCCCCGGTCCGTGCCGAGCCGAGCTGGGGTGGGATGGGATGGGGTAAGGTAGGGTGGGGTGGGGTGGACTGGGATCGGATAGGATGGGATAGGATAGGATGGGGTGGGGTGGGGTGGGCAGCGCGGGGCCAGACCCGATCCGGCTCGGGGGCTGCCTGCGGGGCGCCGCCGCGGCACCGCCGCCATCTGCTGGGCACCGCCTGTCCGGGCTACTGCCCGTCCTGTCTGTCCTACTGCCTGACCCGCTGTCCGGGCTGCTGCCCGTCCTCCTGCCCTGCTCTCAGTGCTGCCTGCTGCCCATCCTGCTGCCCTGCTTTCAGACCTGCCCGTAGCCCATCCCGCTGCCCATCCAGGTGCCCATCCTGCCGTCCTACCCGCTATCCATGCCACCACCCTGCCCATGACCGTGGAACTGACCCCAAGTCCCAACCCCAAGGCCTGACCCAAAGTCCTAGTGCTGATCCCCCAACCCCGAGACCCTGACCCCAGAGCTGAACCTGAGCCTTCAAACCCAGAGCTGACTCCAGACCCTGAGCTAACCCTGAGCCCCAACCAAGAGCCCCAAACCCGAACCCCAACCCCAGACCCTTGACCCCTTTGACCCCCCTCGATACCTTTGACCTTGAAAACATGACCCTGGAACCCCCAACCCATACCAACCCTGGACCCTAGAGCCGAGCCCTGGAACTGGACGCAACAATGAGGCCCAACCCTAAACCCCAACACTGAGCCCCAACCCCAGACTCTTGACCACAGAGCTCCCACCTCAGAGCTAAATCTGAGCTCAGACCTGAGCCCCAGACTCCATAGCTAACCGCGAGCCCAACTCCATAGCTGACCCAGAGCCCTATCCTGGAGTGGACCCTGAGCTCCAAACCCAGAGCTGACCCCAAGACCCCACTCACACTACACCCAGAGCTAACCCCGAGCCTCAACCCCAAGCTCTAACCCCAAGATCTAAACCTGAGCCCCAACCATGAGCCTCAAGTCCAAGCCCCAAACCTGGACCCTCGACATCGGACCTTTGAACCCAGAACCGCCACTCTGGACTCGACCCTGAAGCCCCCACCCTGGACCTGACCCTGAGACCCACACCCGGACCTGACCCAAGGACCCAGACCCAGAGCTGACCCCGAGTCCCAGCCCCAAGCCCCAACCCTAAGCCCCATAGCTGGGCCCTCTATCTTGGGCTCTCTACCCAGAAGCTTACCCAAACCCAAGCCCCCAGCGCTGGACCTGACCCTGAGGCATGGACCTGAGCTACGGACCCCAGAGCTGACCCTGAATCCCAACCAAGGAGCAGACCCTAAGCCCCCCAAACCTCAGAACAAACCCCAGACCCGGAGCCCTGACTCCCAGCCCCCAGCTGTGGAGCTGACCCCGGCACCAGAGCTAACCCCAAGCCCAAACCTGAGCCCCAACCCCGAGCCCCAACCCCAGACCCTCAACCACAGAGCCCCGACCTTGAACCCTTGACCCCAGACCCTCAACCCCGGAGCTCCCACCATGGACACTCAGGACATTCGACCCCAGAATCCCAACGCCAAACCCTTGACACCAGACCTGGGACCCCTGAGCCACTGACCCAGACAAGACCCTGGAGACCCCATCCCAGCCCCAGCCCCCAAGCACCTGACCCAGACCAGACCCCAGAGCCCCAGATACAGATTCAACCCTGAGCCCCAGACCCAGACCTGTGCCCAAGCCCAGGACTCTTGACCCTGGAGTTCACCCCTAGCCTTGACCCCAAGCCCAGACCCTGAGCTCTGACTACAAGCCCCCGACTCCAGAGATGACCCCAGACTGTAGACCCTGGCATCCCCACTCCTGAGCTTACCTCAAGCCCCAGCCCTGGAGATAACGCCAAGCCCCCAAACTGAAAGCTGACCCCAATCCCAGAACTGATCCCGAGTCCCTGAACCCATAGATGACCCCAAACCCAGAGCTAACCCCAAGTCCCAAACCATAGCCCCAAACCTGAGCCCCAACCCCATACCCTTAACCCCAGACCCTTGGCCCTGTAGCCCCCACCCTGGAGCTGACCCCAAGACCCAACCCAGCAGCTGACCCTAGCCCTGACCCAGGAGTTAACACTGAGCCCCCGAACCCAAAGCTGACCCTGACACCAGAGCTGATCCTGAGTCCCCAAACCCAGAGTTGACCCCAGACCTGGAGTTGACCCTGAGCTCCAAACCTGAGCCTCAACCCTGAGCCCCAACCCTGGACCCTCAACTGCAGACCCGTGACCCTGGATGCATGACTCCAGAGCCCCTGACCTGGACCTGACCTTGGATGTCCCTACCCCGACCCCCAGAACTGGACCCTAACCTGAGTCCCGAACCTGAGCCCTAACCCCAAGCCACACCCCGAACCTTGACCACAGATCCTTGACCCCAGAGCTACCGACCTGGACCCAATGCCAGAGCCCTTGCCTCAGACCAGACCCTGGAGACACCACTCTGGACCTGACTCTGGAGCCCCTGACCCAGACCAAACCTCAGAGCCCCGGACCCAGTTAGGAACCTGAGCCACAGACCCAGACCCATGCCTGAGCCCAGGTCCCTTGACCCCAGAGTTTGCCCCAAACCCTGACCCTGAGCCCTGACCCCAAGCCCCGACTCTGAGCCCCTGACCCTTGTAGTTACCCCAGACTGTTGACCCTGGAATCCCCACTCCAGAGATATAGCCCTGGACATGAGCCATGGACCATGGAGTTGACTCTGAGCCCTGATCCTGGCCCTGACCCAGGACCCAGAGCTAACCCTAAGCCCTATCCCTGAGTGCCAAACCCAACCCCCAGCCCTAAGCCACACCCCAGACCTGACCCTGGATCCCCCACCCTGGACCCAACCCTGAGCCCTGGACTCAAGCCCAAAGACGTGTACCCAGAGCTGACCCCTTGCCCTGGACCTGGACCCAAAAAACAAACACAAAACAAAACAAGCAAACAAAAAAAACCAACCTCAGAAGCTCAAGTGCTTACAGGTAAGCCTGACTTTGAAGAATGTTCTTAAGTACTTGTTAAGATTGAACAACAGGTTGTGTGAAAAAGGTGCATTAATGTAAATTCAAAAATTGCCTTGTTGTAAGTAGAAACAGATCTAGATAGATACTAGTGGCATGATCGTTACTTTCACTAAGTGGAAATTGTAAGAATGTGCTGTTCATAAAAGAAATGCTGTTCTCACAATAGGCACATCAAAAGTAGTATGAAGAAAGCCTGTCCTCTTCCCTACAGGTCTGCATCTTGGCTGTTGAGAAACTTTCTGAAGAGGTCCACCAATTTAAAGAGAATTGATCTTCCTCCTCACCTGTACAAACCAGTGTCTCAGCTATCGGGGTAAGCATCTTTCTGTGAAAGGCAGACGATAGAGTGGGTACATATGCCATGCCACCCTGTGGCACCCTACATGACCACAGAGAGGACTTCAAAAAAAGGCTCCTCAGAGCCAGAGGACACCCATGGAGCCTGTGGAGCCCAGGCACTAACACTCACCAAGCCCATGGACACCGCGGCGGAGCCCAGGTGCCAAGTCCTGCCGAGTCCAGCCGGGCCCCCAGGTGGACCCCTTGGGCGCTGAGTCCTGCCAGGCCCTGCAGTGGAGCCCAGGAGTCCGGTGGGGCCCCTGAGCTGCTCCTGGGGGTCCTCTGGGGGTCACTGGTCAGGATCCATGGCAGCACCCGGAGGCATGGGCCCGGCGTCCTCTGGGGGCCCACTGGGGGATGCCAGGCGGGGTCCACTGTGGCAGCCAAGGACCGCTGAAGTTCACCAGGCAGGGTCCGCGGCAGCTCCTGCAGTCCCGCTGGAGTTCACCTGGCAGGTTTAGTGGCAGCACCTGGGGGCCCGCCGGGAGTCGCTGGTCAGGGTCTGCAGTGGTGCCCGGGGGCCTGTCAGGGGTCCCCAGGTGGGGTCCTCATCGGTGCATGAGGGTCCACTGGGGCTCACCACGTGGGGTCAGCTGCAGCGCCCGGGGACTTGACGGGGGTCCTCATTATAATGAGGAACCACTGGAAATTAGAGCCACAAATCTATTCTGACCTAGCTGTAGCAGTACAGAGTGCAGCCTGCATTCAGGTGATATATGAAAGAGATGAATTCTCTTTCATATAGAAAAGGAGTGGTTGCTGACCCCCCCTGCTTCGAACCCTGGCAGACCCTGGGGCACAGCGGTGGACACTCCTCCTTTGAGCCCCAGTGGGCCCCAGGGTGCGGTGGTGGACCCCCCCTGTGAGCCCCGGCGGGCCCCTGGGTGCAGCAGCAGACCATCACCAGTGACCCGCAGTGCACGCCCAGGCATGGTGGTGGACCCCCTCTGCAAGACCCAGCAGGCACCTGGGTGTGGTTGCTGACCCACCCCTGAGCCCTGGTAGTCTCCCGAGCCTGCAGCAGAATCCCACCTGCAAGTGCTGGCGGGCCCACAGTCGCAGCCGTGGACCCCTACTGGCGAGTCCGGCAGGCCCCAGGGCGCAGCAGTGGACTCTCACCTTCCAGACCTGGCGGGCCCCAGGGCGCGGCAGTGGACCGCTCCTGCAAGCCTTGGTGTGCCCACAGGTGTGACAGCAGAACCCCCCTTTGAGCCCCAGTGGGCCTTCGGACATGGCAGCAGACCCCTCCCTTTGAGCACCGCAGGCTGTGCTGTGCTCCCAGGTGCGGCGGAGGACCCCTCCCCACGAGCCCCAGCTGGCCCCAGGGGGCAGTGCTGGACCCCCCCTGAGAGTCTTGGCGTGCCTGTGGGTGCTGTTGCTGAACCCCCCTCTTTGAGCCCCAGTGGAACCCCGGGCGCAGTGGCGAACCCCCACTTCAAGCCCTGGTGGGCCCCAGGGTGACGCGCGGAAAAGACTTCACAAACATAGGGTTGTAAAGTATGTATACTTTATTGCGGTTCACCGGGCGCACTGGGAATAGCTTCCCTCAAAAAGTGCGCACCTGCCTGGTCGTCTCTCACAATTTTATACACAATTTTATACACTCTCCTTCTCTGGTTCTTTCTCCCTACCTCTCTACTTTTCTGTCTCTCCGGACATTCACCCTTCCAGTGCCCAAACCTTTTGCACAATGCAAATTGATCCTTTCCTAACCGAGGTGGTCCCCACCTCTGTTTCCTTTCTCCCTTGACAACTACCACTATTCTCTTCTGCCCTTGCTTATAATCCTCCCTATTACTAAACACTCTCCATGCTTCATCTAATAGCACTTCCAAATTCCTGCTCTCTGTGGTGCGCAGCTTCTGGAGATTGCGCCTAGTATCTCCTGTTGACTGTCCCAAAAACAGATACTAGCTGTTGTATTCCTATCTCCGACCCGGGATCCAGCAGTGTGTGCATTACATCCCTCAGGCGATCCAGGAATTCAGATGGTGACTCGGAGGGTCCTTGCTTAATTGCATACAGAGCTGACCAGTTTATGGTCTTGGGAATGGCCCTCTCCATTCCCTTCGAAATCCACCCCTGATAGGCCTGCAACCTCTCCATGTGGACTGACCTATTTGGGTCCCATTTGGATCTTGAAGAGGGAGATACTCCTTAACATCCCCTCCTGCAACCTTATAATGTTCCTCAGCCAAATCTGCTGCAGTTTTCAGAATCAGCTGTTTCTCTGTTTCCATCATATATTCCAATAACAGCTGAATATCATTCCAGTCAGGGTTATATCGTTTGATAACAAACTGGAAATGTTTAGTTACCCCTATCAGATCGTTCTGGTATTCTTTGGCAACCCTCTTCCAACCCTCTAAATCAGTGGTAGAGAAAGGTACCCTGATCAGCATTGTTCCGCCGTCAGGTAATACTGCCTCTCAAAGAGGTGCCTGTAAAACAGATTTTTTCCTAGTACAGGAGGATACAGGACTGTCTGGAGGAGTCACAGTCTCATCTGAGTCATCACCCTGTTCCTGTGGTCAAGGGGGAGGCTTAAATACATCTATCAGGTCTTGTTCTGGTCCCTGATGAATTTTGCTTATCTTAGTACACCTCTGTCCGATGCTGCATGCTGAACAACACCGTCTCAATTTGCCTTTAAGTCCTTTATTGTTTCCTCGCTCAAGGGCTAACACCATGGGGTCCTGTGGAGGCACAATTCCACAGTCTCTCTGCCACTCTGGGTGATTTCGGAGAGTGAAAAACATCTCTGCATATGCAGCCTCATCCCATTTACTTTCTCTTCTCAGAAACAACATCAACTGTAATATAGTGCTATAATTAATAGTTCCATTTAAGGGCCACTCCTCTCTATCCTCTAATTTATAAAGTGGCCACCACTGATTACAATATTTGATAAGAGTTCTTTTACTCTCTGTCCCCCCTTCGCCCCACTATATCCCTCCAATGTGTAAGTATACATCCTAAGGGGCTTTTCTGTGAGATTTCTTTGCTTTGACTTTGTCCCATTCTAATCTATAGCAGTTAATGTTCCACCATCCTCTAAAGATCTGTTTACTAATTTTTCCCAATCCCTCCAAAATCCACAGTATATACAAATAAAATCAGGCAACCGCAAATCAACTGCCTGTAGATGATTACACCAAGGACATCTGAGCCTGAAAGACCGATAATATGCCAGAGCAAATTTAGTTCCCTTTGGCATACACCCCAACAGCAGTTCTTATATTACACTATATTTACATATCTTTACAGATGTTTAAAAGAATACTTAAACAACAAATGTCCGGGCCTTTACAAATACAACATACAATTATTATTCCAATTAGAATTATTCCCCCAGCAGCTGCAAACACTGTAACAGTAATCATTAAGGCTCGCTTACCCCCCTCCCATCTCTTTTCACAATCTTCTTGTGGTTCCTGGAACCAGGGTATAACGGCTTCTACTCAAAAACCTCGTTTGGCCACTCTATTGGCCACCTTCCGCTTGGCTGCTCTACTAGCCACCTCCCAGTATGTCCTCGGGGTTTATGTCGTGCGCTAGACGTCTCTATGCAGCTTATTGACCTCCCCGGCCAATTGGCTTACCTTTATTAAGGCATACCGTTTGTTCGCAACCACAGGATCTTCTTCTATCCCTGCAGTGAGCAGCTGGGAGAGGAGATCCTCCGAGAGAGAAAAAGGGGCACAGGGTGCACCTAGGAGGTCCGCTCCACAGTCGATCCCGCAGCTGAACAGAGTTAATAGGGTTGTAAAGTACAACCCTAGGGTTGTAAAGTAGGTATACTTTATTACGGTGCACTGGGCGCACGGGGAATAGCTTCCCTCAGAAAGTGTGTGCCTGCCCAGTCGTCTCTCATGAATACCAGGACTACCTGGATACCAGGTTTGGGAGAGCAGATCTGAAGAAGAGATCTAGGGACCAGGACTGCAGACCACTTCTGGGAACCAGCTCTGGGGACCAACTCTGGGAAACTGGTCTGGGGAGCAGTTCTCAGGCCCAGTGGAACAGGTGTGCAGAGCAGGTCACATTAGCAGGTCTGGGGACCGGATCTGGGAACCATGTCTAAAAACATATCAGGGGACCAGCCCTGGGGAGCAGCCCTGGGGAACATGTCTGGGGACCAGATCTTTGGAACGGGTGTGAGGAGAAGGTGTAGGGAGTAGGTCTTGGTGGAGCACGTCTTGAGACCATATGTGGAAACTAGTTCCACGGAGCACTTCTGGGAAGTAGATCCCAGAATATGATCTGTGACCCAGCTCTGGGGACCATGTCTGGAGACCAGGTCCGGGGACAAGCTCTGGGGAGCAGACCTGTGGAAGAGATGTGGGAAGCAGGTGTGGGGAGCCACTCTGGAGAGAAGCACTGGGGACTGGGTGTGGGTACTGGTCTAGGAGCAGGTGAGGTACAGAACTGGGTAACAGATCTGGGGGGGATCACCGGGAGAGGGCACCGTGGGTACGCCGCTAGGTATGAGGGCATGCCAGGGGTCGCTGGACGGGGTCTGCTGAGAGGCCAGGGGCCAGCTGTGGCTCACCAGCAGAGGTCCACCGCCGCTCCCATGGGCCCGCTGGAGCTCACAGCAGGGTGTCCACTGGCATGCCCAGTGCTCTGCCGGGACTTGTGGGGGGGGTCCAGCGCCATGCTATGGGCCTGCTGGGGCTTGCAAGGGGGATACACCAGCAGGGCTTCAGGTGTGTGTGGGGGTTCCACAGCACCTACCGGGGGCCCACCATGGCTTGCAGGTAGGGGGTTCAATGCAGCTATGGGGGGCCTCAGAGCCTTGTGTGTGTGTGTGTGTGGGGGGGGGATCCAGTGCTGTGCCCAGGGGCCCAACAGGGCTCTTAATGGGGGGGAGGTCCACTGGCACAGCCAGGGTCCAGGGGTGGATCGCAGACGTGGGTCTGCCGCGACACTGGGGGCCTGCTGGGGCTCATAAGGTCCATCGGCGCGCCTGGTGCCCCACCAGGTCTTGCAAGGGGGGGGCAACTGACATGCCGGGGCCCTGCTGGGGATTGCAGTGGGGGATTCACCGCAGCTACTGGGGGCCCACTGGGGCTTGACGGAGGGGGTCCACTGGCGCACCCAGGGTCCGTCGGGGCTTGCAGTGGGGGGTTCACCGAAGCTACTGGGGGCCCCCCAGGACTCGAAGGGAGGGGGGCTACTGGTGCACCCCAGGCCCCATGGGGCTCACAGGAGGGTGCCACCACAGTTACTGGGGGCCTGCTGGACTCGAAAGGAGGGGTACACCAGTGTGTCTGGGGTACTACAGTGGGTCGCCAGCACGGGTCCACCACTGCACCGGGGGCCCTCTGGGGCTCCAATGGGGGGTCAACAGTAGCAACCAGTGGCCAGCCAAGGCTTGCAGAGGGGGGATCCACCATCATGCCTGGTGCCCTGCCGGGACTCCAAGGGGGGGGGGGGTGCCAATGGCACGCCAGGGCCCCGCTGGGGCTTGCAAGGGGGAGTCAACAGTAGTGACCGGAGGCCCACTGGGGCTTGCAAGGGTGGTCCAACACAGCTACCAGGGGCATGCCAGGGCTCGTGGACAGGGAGGTACAGCGCAACTACCGGGGGCCTGCAGAGCCTCGAAGGGGGGGGTCCAAAGCCATGCAGGGGGGCCTGCCGACGCTTGCAAGGGGGGGGTCCACTGCTGCATTGGGGGCCCACTGGGGCTCCAATGGGGTTCAACGGTAGCGACAGGTGGCCTGCCAGGGCTTGTGGGGGCGGTCCACTGTCACGCCCAGTGCCCTGGTGGGACTCACAGGGGTGGTTCACTGGTGTGCATGGGGGCCCGCCAGGACTTGAATGGGAGGGTACTCTGCCACGTCCGGGAGCCTGCCAGGGTGCGCAGCAGGGAGTCCACCGCCGCGTCTGGGGTTCTGTGGTGGCTTGCTGCCGGGGGTAAGCTGCCTTGCCCGGGGGCCCTTGGGGGTTGTTGGCGGGGATGTGCTGATGTGCTGCCATGCCTGGGGACCAGCCAGCAGTTGCCAGTGGATGTGTGTTGAGGTGCCGGGGACCCGCCAGCGGTCACCGGCGGGGGTGTGACGCCATGCCCAGGGGCCCGCAGGGAGTATGCTGAAGCACACAGGGGACCGCAAGCTGTTGCTGGTGGGGGTGTGCCGAGGAGCCCCAGGACCTGCTGGGGATCGCCAGCTGTGGTCTGATGCTGCACCTGTGGTCCCGCCAGGGGTTGCCAGAGGGAGTGCA